GGCTTCTCATATAAAACATAAGTTTAAAAACTAGGGATATAACAGAAATTTATTCTGCATGCTTGAAAGATTACTCTAGTTATGTGACTTTGAATAATACTAGATGACATAAATATCAAAATGGTTTACAAATTATGTAAGTACACCTAGTAGGCTATACCTCATTAGTTCCATGTTTACAGTTGTGATATCGTGAGATGTTATATTGTGACTTTATTTTAGGCCTGTGTAAAGCGGTAATTGATTCTTTATATTATTGTCATTAAGTGGGTAATGAGTCACAAAACAAATAATCAAAACATTTCAGAGGTGGGGGCGCCAAAAGTGTTTTTGCCCCCGGTGCTGAGAACCCTTGCTACGCCACTGCCATTTACTGAATACCAGTGGCGGTCACTGCAATGCTGCGATGTGTGAGTGGTTGTTTGACCTTTGGCTGGGTTCAGTTTATTCAAAGTACACTCACTGCAGCTGCTGCTACAGGCTTTTTCCTCTTTTGCAACTTGCTTGAAGTTACCATTTCATACATCATCATAATAGAAACTGCCTCAATAATGGTGTGAAGGTTCTCACACCTAGGTGATGCCACATTACCTTGCTGAAAAGCCCTTCCAAGAACTTATCAATGAGGATATTCTAGCGATCTGCTAAGACCATTGCAAGGTAAGCCATATCATGCAAACAGTACAGATTATCTGCATAAGTTCGCCATCTTAATTATACGCTATACACAAACATGGTATGCACTTGCTTAAATATTAAACACAACAGACTGTTACTCTACCTGGATGATTTCATGGACAATGTTTATTGTACCACCAAGAAGAGAAAGATTCAAATAAGGAGTAATTACGAGTAAATCGACATTTAGTATCACTACTGCTATGTGATGTGTTACTGCAGGACCTTCTTGGACAAATTCAGCCATATCACGACTAAGTCCAGTTTATTAATTGAGCTGGCCAATACAACAACAACAATGCCCCATTAAGAAACCAATGGACTTTAACAAAAAGGTACCTTGGAAGACATATCAGGCTCAGTTGAAAATAATTTCCAGAGTGAATGAATGGACTAATAAAAATCAACGAGGAAGTCTAATTTCAATTCTTCACATAAGAACAGCTTGCCACCTCACTCACAAGAGCTATAAGACTAGAGCTGAGTAGGCCTCACAGTTGATCAATGTCAGAGTTTACATGACTTGCTCATGGATTATGAAGATACTTTTTCAGTGGAATTCATTATTTGGGCCAAACAAATTAAATATTCCCAATATATCAGTTAGCCAGATTATTTCCACTTGGAAAACAGACTCAGGAAGGAAAACTGCTAGAATCTGGTGCATCCTGCTGAAGATTGATCTCATTGCATAGGAGGCGTGGGTGACTGAGGGTCGTCATGGTTATTTGCAGTTTGACAAATCTTACATTGAATGATATGGTTTCTATAGGATTTCCAAGAATTTGGCGATAGGAGTAGCCAAATCCCAGCTCTGGTTGATGCCAAGAGAGATTGGAGGTATACTTGTGTATGTCCTTCAATCTGATCTGTTTCACTAACATGTGGGACATCAGGCACCAATTGGTAAAGATGGTAATCCACAGGCAATCGTTTTCATACTACCCAGAAGCAGGAATCTAATGATTATTCAAATATAGTAGTTCTGAGCATGCCTATTTCTGTTTACCCCCAATGTTTTGGGCATCTCAGCCTGGTGTTGGCCGAGCCTCCACAGGAGAAAGTACCCATTTCTATTTATGATCTAGGCTAAGCAGATTTCTTCTCCCAACGTTTAAATTCACAGCCAAGGAAGGTCTGGATCATTTTTCTGAAAATATTTCAGACAGGCTACGAAATATCCGGTGCTGAATCTGAATGCAAGGGTCACTACTTGACTCAATCAAGTGTTTGGATAAGGAGGAAGATGCTGACAGTATATGTCTGGCTATCTGAGTGAAGTCACACAAGGAAACGCCTGTGGAGAAGCAACATGGTAGTTCTGATGATCTGTTGAGATGACGATTATGACCTCCTAATCTTGACTGAGTTACCAGCAGTTAGAAGAACTATCACCTTTACTTTCCAAGCTATCAGCAATGTCTTACTGAGAGATGTGTACGGGATATCTGATGATAGTTACTGTGATGAAGGCTGATTTTAGTAGATGTAACGCTTAGAGCATTATCTGTTTGTATGACTTAAGATGATCGCTAGGAGTTTGAACACTCCACTTAAACTTAAAGAAAAATTTTGTTGGTATTTTATACTTTAACGAACATTAATACGTGCCTGCACTGCACCATATTTTACACAGGAAAAATATCACATACAGTGAAAACAAGAACTAAGGGCGCATTTAACTATTTGAGTTTAATCGACAAGTTGATTTTTTGAGTGACTCTCTTAATATTAAGGCCC